AAGGTGAGGGATCAGCCCAGAACTACACGGCAGGACCTGGTCAATGACCTGAAGAGAGCTGGGACCACAGTCTCAAAGAAAACCATTAGTAACACACTACACCGTCATGGATTAAAATCCTGCAGCGCACGCAAGGTCCCCCTGCTCAAGCCAGCGCATGTCCAGGCCCGTCTGAAGTTTGCCAATGACCATCTGGATGATCCAGAGGAGGAATGGGAGAAGGTCATGTGGTCTGATGAGACAAAAATAGAGCTTTTCGGTCTAGACTCCACTCGCCGTGTTTGGAGGAAGAAGAAGGATGAGTACAACCCCAAGAACACCATCCCAACCGTGAAGCATGGAGGTGGAAACATCATTCTTTGGGGATGCTTTTCTGCAAAGGGGACAGGACGACTGCACCGTATTGAGGGGAGGATGGATGGGGCCATGTATCGCAAGATCTTGGCCAACAACCTCCTTCCCTCAGTAAGAGCATTGAAGATGGGTCGTGGCTGGGTCTTCCAGCATGACAACGACCCGAAACACACAGCCAGGGCAACTAAGGAGTGGCTTCGTAAGAAGCATCTCAAGGTCCTGTAGTGGCCTAGCCAGTCTCCAGACCTGAACCCAATAGAAAATCTTTGGAGGGAGCTGAAAGTCCGTATTGCCCAGCGACAGCCCCGAAACCTGAAGGATCTGGAGAAGGTCTGTATGGAGGAGTGGGCCAAAATCCCTGCTGCAGTGTGTGCAAACCTGGTCAAGACCTACAGGAAACGTATGATCTCTGTAATTGCAAACAAAGGTTTCTGTACCAAATATTAAGTTCTACTTTTCTGATGTATCAAATACTTATGTCATGCAATAAAATGCAAATTAATTACTTAAAAATCATACAATGTGATTTTCTGGATTTTTGTTTTAGATTCCGTCTCTCACAGTTGAAGTGTACCTATGATAAAAATTACAGACCTCTACATGCTTTGTAAGTAGGAAAACCTGCAAAATCGGCAGTGTATCAAATACTTGTTCTCCCCACTGTATACCCTTTGTTGGCAATGACACAGGTCAAACGTTTTCTGTAAGTCTTCACAAGGTTTTCACACACTGTTGCTGGTATTTTGGCCCATTCCTCCATGCAGATCTCCTCTAGAGCAGTGAAGTTTTGGGGCTGTTGCTGGGCAACACGGACTTTCAACTCCCTCCAAAGATTTTCTATGGGGTTGAGATCTGGAGACTGGCTAGGCCACTCCAGGACCTTGAAATGCTTCTTACGAAGCCACTCCTTCGTTGCCCGGGCGGTGTGTTTGGGATCATTGTCATGCTGAAAGACCCAGCCACGTTTCATCTTCAATGCCCTTGCTGATGGAAGGAGGTTTTCACTCAAAATCTCACGATACATGGCCCCATTCATTCTTTCCTTTACACAGATGAGTCGTCCTGGTTCCTTTGCAGAAAAACAGCCCCAAGGCATGATGTTTCCACCCCCATGCTTCACAGTAGGTATGGTGTTCTTTGGATGCAACTCAGCATTCTTTGTCCTCCAAACACGACGAGTTGAGTTTTTACCAAAAAGTTCTATTTTGGTTTCATCTGACCATATGACATTCTCCCAATCCTCTTCTGGATCATCCAAATGCACTCTAGCAAACTTCAGACGGGCCTGGACATGTACTGGCTTAAGCAGGGGGACACGTCTGGCACTGCAGGATGAGTCCCTGGCGGCGTAGTGTGTTACTGATGGTAGGCTTTGTTACTTTGGTCCCAGCTCTCTGCAGGTCATTCACTAGGTCCCCCCGTGTGGTTCTGGGATTTTTGTTTTTCTTATTTTCCACCATAATTTGCAAATAAATTCATAAAAAATCCTACAATGTGATTTTCTGGAGAAAAGAAATCTCAATTTGTCTGTCATAGTTGACGTACCTATGATGAAAATTACAGGCCTCTCTCATCTTTTTAAGTGGGAGAACTTGCACAATTGGTGGCTGACTAAATACTTTTTTTCCCCACTGTAAATGTAAAGGTGATTTTATCCTCTACCAACCAACCAGCTAAATGTAAAGGTGAGGTAGCTTAGTGGTTAGGAGCGTTGTGCCAGTAACTGAAAGGTCGCTGGTTCTAATCCCCGAGCCGACTAAGTGGAAAATCTGCCGATGTGCCCTTGAGCAAGGCACTTAACCCTAATTGCTCCTGTAAGTCGCTCTGGATAAGAGCGTCTGCTAAATGACTAAAATGTAAATGTAAAATGTGATTTTATCCTCTACCAGCTAAATGTAAAATGTGATTTTATCCTCTACCAACCAACCAGCTAAATGTAAAATGTGATTTTATCCTCTACCAACCAACCAGCTAGTTGTATATTGTATACTTTGTACAAGGTGGATTTCCTGTGCTGTTAACATCTGTCAACCTCGTATAGACAACAATGCATGTTGCCTGTTTAATCTGCTGGTAACAGAATGTGTGTTGATCTCCCCTGTATACCCTCAGAAGTTCCATCTGACATGCTTTGTGCTAATAAAATGATTAAGATGTAATTAGTAGATAAACTCTGCAGCGGAGCGGAGCGCTGAGTAATCAACCACAGAACCACAGAAGCACAGAACGACGGAACAACACATTTCTCTCTTGCTGTCATTTCTCTCTCCTATATCATCTTTGTTCTACAGTGACATTTCAATAGAGACTAGCTGACATGCAGTGCAAACATCTCTGCCTGAGAAAGAACCTAAAATATCACACACACAGCTCTGCTGATTGGGGGCTCTGCAGCATTAGTTAGAGTGTCATCGTATTAAAGAGCATTGGGGGCTCTGCAGCATTAGCCAGAGTGTAATCGTATTAAAGAGCATTGGGGGCTCTGCAGCATTAGCCAGAGTGTAATCGTATTAAAGAGCATTGGGGGCTCTGCAGCATTAGTTAGAGTGTCATCGTATTAAAGAGCATTGGGGGCTCTGCAGCATTAGTCAGAGTGTAATCGTATTAAAGAGCATTGGGGGCTCTGCAGCATTAGCCAGAGTGTAATCGTATTAAAGAGCATTGGGGGCTCTGCAGCATTAGCCAAGTGTAATCGTAGTAAAGGCATTGGGTGTAATCGTATTAAAGAGCATTGGGGTCTCTGCAGCATTAGCCAGAGTGTAATCGTATTAAAGAGCATTGGGGTCTCTGCAGCATTAGCCAGAGTGTAATCGTATTAAAGAGCATTGGGGTCTCTGCAGCATTAGCCAGAGTGTAATCGTATTAAAGAGCATTGGGGTCTCTGCAGCATTAGCCAGAGTGTAATCGTATTAAAGAGCATTGGGGGCTCTGCAGCATTAGCCAGAGTGTAATCGTATTAAAGAGCATTGGGGGTCTCTGCAGCATTAGCCAGAGTGTAATCGTATTAAAGAGCATTGGGGGCTCTGCAGCATTAGCCAGAGTGTAATCGTATTAAAGAGCATTGGGGTCTCTGCAGCATTAGCCAGAGTGTAATCTTAATAAAGAGCATTGGGGGCTCTGCAGCATTAGTCAGAGTGTAATCGTATTAAAGAGCATTGGGGGCTCTGCAGCATTAGTCAGAGTGTAATCGTATTAAAGAGCATTGGGGGCTCTGCAGCATTAGCCAGAGTGTAATCGTATTAAAGAGCATTGGGGGCTCTGCAGCATTAGCCAGAGTGTAATCGTATTAAAGAGCATTGGGGGCTCTGCAGCATTAGTCAGAGTGTAATCGTATTAAAGAGCATTGGGGGCTCTGCAGCATTAGTCAGAGTGTAATCGTATTAAAGAGCATTGGGGGCTCTGCAGCATTAGTCAGAGTGTAATATTATTAAAGAGCATTGGGGGCTCTGCAGCATTAGCCAGAGTGTAATCGTATTAAAGAGCATTGGGGGCTCTGCAGCATTAGCCAGAGTGTAATCGTATTAAAGAGCATTGGCGCAGCCATCAGGGGATTCTACATCTCCATTACAGTGTCTGTCTGCTCACCAAACCACGTATCACAGAAAAGCTGAAGGATATTTCCAGGCTTTGTCTATAGCATGCTCTAATAACACACCTACACACACCACACACACACACACCCTGCACACCACACCACACACCCTACACACCACACCCTACACGCACACACACACACCCTACACACACACACCCTACACACACACACACACACACACACACACACACCCTACACACACCCTACACACCACATACCACACACACCACACACACCACACACACACCCTACACACACAACACACCACAGTTCAGAGGTTTCTCCAGACAGGACATACCATGGCCCAGTTCAGAGGTTTCTCCAGACAGGACGTACCATGGCCCAGTTCAGAGGTTTCTCCAGACAGGACGTACCATGGCCCAGTTCAGAGGTTTCTCCAGACAGGACGTACCATGGCCCAGTTCAGAGGTTTCTCCAGACAGGACATACCATGGCCCAGTTCAGAGGTTTCTCCAGACAGGACATACCATGGCCCAGTTCAGAGGTTTCTCCAGACAGGACATACCATGGCCCAGTTCAGAGGTTTCTCCAGACAGGACGTACCATGGCCCAGTTCAGAGGTTTCTCCAGACAGGACGTACCATGGCCCAGTTCAGAGGTTTCTCCAGACAGGACATACCATGGCCCAGTTCAGAGGTTTCTCCAGACAGGACATACCATGGCCCAGTTCAGAGGTTTCTCCAGACAGGACGTACCATGGCCCAGTTTGAAGACAGCTACTGACATGGTATGAGTGTGACAGACTAGGCAGGTCAGGAAGAAGCTACTAGCTATTGACATGATGACTTTGAAAGCTTGTTTGACTACTGCTAATTAAACCGTCACTGCTGAGACAAACAGCCACAAACTAGTGTGTTCCTGTGTGTGTGTGTGTCCTGAGCAGCGCAGAGCAGTCAGTGAGTCACGCAGAATCACCCTGAGAAGGACGGCAGAGGCAGAAGACGACAGGCTCCATGGGAGCGTTGGGTTAGCACTGCGCTAACTGTCAGGACGCCCCATCGGCTCTGCCTTGCTTTAGCTGGTGATCTGATCAGGGATGGCAAGCAGGCATCTCAGCCCGATGGAGACGCTCCATCCATCTCTCTATCTGACTACCAGCCATGCGGAGTGCTGCAGCCGGCCAGCAGATGTGGGTCACCCTCTATTGGATCCACCAAACAGTCAAAACCTAACCTTTCCATTTCTCAAGCGGTACAAGGCAGGGGTGTACCTTATCACTTTATCCGTTTGAAAAAGTTGCTATACGTTCACAGACTGAAAAAGCCACTACGTCAACATACACAACAGATTGTGAGAAAAAAACAACTCTCCCGCCAGAGAAAAACAGTCCAACCATCATCCAGACAGACTCAGCCTGCCCATTCCTCCAGACTCACCTTGACAGAGATCTTTCCCTCATCCTTGGGCAGGTGTGCAGCCAGGAACCAATCCCCGGGGAGGGGGGAGGTCACGTTGAACACCCCTGTGGTGCGGTTTGGTAGAGTCCAGGTCAGAGTGACTGCAAAGGACCCTGGGACAATGGTATCCCGTGGGAACCGCGTGTGGAGGGGGTTGATGACGGGAGGGGCTCCTGATCTAAAGTACCTGGAGACAAGGACAAACACACTTACAAGGACATACTCATCACACACAGTGTAGACACACACACACACACACACACACACACACACCTAGTGATGAAGTGAGATATCTTCCCCGGTGAGACAGAAAGCTATCATCATTTAGTATGATCTAAAACCTGCAAGCTGTTGAAATTATGGGCTTCACTTTTCTCATTACAGAAATGATAAATCAGAGCAACTAACAGAATTAATTAGAGAAGAGAGAGAGAAAGAGAGACAGGGAAGGAGAGATATGGAGAGAATGAGAGAGAGAGAGAGAGAGAGAGAGAGAGAGAGAGAGAGAGAGAGTGAGAGAGAGAGAGAGAGAGAGAGAGAGAGAGGAGTGTGAGAGGGAAGGAGGGAGAGAGAGAGAGAGTGTGAGAGGGAAGGAGGGAGAGAGAGCGAGAGAAATATTAGAATCAACTATTAAAGACTACCAGAACCCACTGGATTCTCCAATTACATTGAATGAACTACAGGACAAAATACAAACCCTCCAACCCAAAAAGGCCTGTGGTGTTGATGGTATCCTCAATGAAATTATACAGACCACAAATTCCAATTGGCTATACTTAAACTCTAACATCATCCTCAGCTCTGGCATCTTCCCCAATATTTGGAACCAAGGACTGATATCCAAGCCACAAAAGTGGAGACAAATTTGACCCCAATAACTACCGTGGGATATGCGTCAACAGCAACCTTGGGAAAATCCTCTGCTTTATCATTAACAGCAGACTTGTACATTTCCACAATTAAAACAATGTACTGAGCAAATGTCAAATTGGCTTTTTACCAAATTACCGTAAGACAGACCACGTATTCACCCTGCACACCCTAATTGACAAACAAACAAACCAAAACAAAGGTAAAGTCTTCTCATGCTTTGTTGATTTCAAAAAAGCTTTTGACTCAATTTGGCATGAGGGTCTGCTATACAAATTGATGGAAAGTGGGGTTGGGGGAAAAAAAAAAACATACAACATTATAAAATCCATGTACACAAACAACGAATGTGCGGTTAAAATTGGCAAAAAACACACATACTTCTTTCTACAGGGCCGTGCGGTGAGACAGGTTTGCCGCTTAAGCCCCACCCTCAACATATATATCAACGAATTGGCAAGGGCACTAGAACAGTCTGCAGCACCCGGCCTCACCCTACTAGAATCTGAAGTCAAATGTCTACTGTTTGCTGATGATCTGGTGCTTCTGTCACCAACCAAGAAGGGCCTACAGCAGTTCCTAGATCTTCTGCACAGATTCTGTCAGACCTGGGCCCTGACAGTAAATCTCATTAAGACAAAAATAATGGTGTTCCAAAAAAGGTCCAGTTGCCAGAACCACAAATACAAATTACACTGTTGCCCTAGAGCACACATACAACTATACATACCTCGGCCAAAACAGGTCAGCACCACAGGTAACCTCCACAAAGGTGTGAACGATTTGAGAGACAAGGCAAGAAGGGCCTTCTATGCCATCAAAAGGAACATGAAATTCGACATCCCAGTTAGGATTTGGCTAAAAATACTTGAATCAGTTATAGAACCCATTGCTATTTATGGTTGTGAGGTCTGGGGTCCGCTCACCAACCAAGAATTCACAAAATGGGACAAACCCCAAATTGAGATTGCATGCAGAATTCTGCAAAAATATCCTCTGCGTACAATGTAAAACACCAAATAATGCATGCAGAGCAGAATTAGGCCGATACCCGCTAATTATCAAAATCCAGAAAAGAGCCGTTAAATTCTACAACCACCTAAAAGGAAGCGATTCCCAAACCTTCCATAACAAAGCCATTACCTACAGAGAGATGAACTTGTAGAAGAGTCCCCTAACCAAGCTGGTCCTGGGGCTCTGTTCACAAACACAAACAGACCCCACAGAGCCCCAGAACAGCAACACAATTAGACCCAACCAAATCATGAGAAAACAAAAAGATAATTATTTCCAATGTGTCAAGTAATTAACAAAAAAACAGAGCAAACTAGAATGCTATTTTGCCCTAAAAAGAGAGTACACAGTGGCAGGATACCTGACCACTGTGACTGACCCAAACTTAAGGAAAGCTTTGACTATGTACAGTGAGCATAGCCTTGCTATTGAGAAAGGCCGCCGTAGGCAGACCTGGCTCTCAAGAGAAGACAGGCTATGTGCACACTGCCCACAAAATGAGGTGGAAACTGAGCTGCACTTCCTAACCTCCTGCCAAATGTATGACCATATTAGAGACACATGTGACTCGTTTCAGGAAACTAGGCGTATGTCACGCGTCACTACTTCACAGGAGAGAACATACTTTTTTTTTTTTTTTTTTCGAAATGCCTTCTGGAACATGTGAAATAGATCACGTAGTAGAACTGCATAAGTGTTGCTCTCTGGAAATTGAGAGAATTGAGACTGAGTTGAAAAATTGAACACACAGAAGGCTGTTGTATAAAACACCTGTCTCCGGATTACATCTTCAAACTAAGGGCAACCATGGCATCCGTGACAGAGAGGGAGAAGCGTCCATCCATGTATACGGGTAAGATAGTCTAGCTAGATACATTTTCAGATATTATACGTTTCTAATCTGGTCAGAAAGTCTAAAGTGTACAGCTACAGTGAGGGAAAAAATTAATTTGATCCCCTGCTGATTTTGTACGTTTGCCCACTGACAAAGACATGATCAGTCTATAATTTTATTGGTAGGTTTATTTCAACAGTGAGAGACAGAATAACAACAACAAAAATCCAGAAAAACGCATGTCAAAAATGTTATAAATTGATTTGCATTTTAAATTAGGGAAATAAGTATTTGATCCCTCTGCAAAACATGACTTAGTACTTGTTGGCAAAACCCTTGTTGGCAATCACAGAGGTCAGACGTTTCTTGTAGTTGGCCACCAGGTTTGCACACATCTCAGAAGGGATTTTGTCCCACTCCTCTTTGCAGATCTTCTCCAAGTCATTAAGGTTTCGAGGCTGACGTTTGGCAACTCGAACCTTCAGCTCCCTACATAGATGGGATTTCTTTGGGATTAAGGTCTGGACACTGGCTAGGCCACTCCAGGACCTTAATGTGCTTCTTCTTGAGCCACTCCTTTGTTGCCTTGGCCGTGTGTTTTGGGTCATTGTCATGCTGGAATACCCATCCACGACCCGTTAGGTAAATAAATAATAAGCCAATAAAGCCCTTTGAATTGAATTGATTTGAGAGAGAGAAACAAATCTATAATTCTGAAGATGTAACTTCCTGTGGCTCCTCCATTCACAGTGTCACGCCCTGACCTTGAGAGCCCAGGTTTCTCTAGTTGGTTTGGTCAGGGTGTGAATTCTATGTGTTGTATTTCTATGTTGGCCGGGTGTGGTTCCCAATCAGAGGCAGCTGTCGATCGTTGTCTCTGATTGGGCATCATACTTAGGTAGCCATTTTGCCTACCTATGTTGTGGGATCTTATTTCAGTTTGGCTTGTTGGATGTTTAGCCTTTTGAACTTCACGTTACAATACTTTTGTTGTTTTGTCGGTGTTTAACATAATAAACGACTATGTACGCATACCCACGCTGCACCTTGGTCCAATCCTTTACTCAACGAACGTGACACACAGACAGACAGGAAATGGTGACTTATGTTATTAAGATTTGTACACAAATATTCAGGTAGACATTTTCCAGTCTGTTTATGTTACGGCGGATGCTGACGCATGCAGATAGGATGCACGGGGAGTGAGTACCGACAAAACTGTGGTAATATGTAGAAGCCAGACAACAAAGTTTAAATTAAGCCTCTGATAGATCAATTGGAAGAGGGGTCAGTTAGGTACAACACCTAACCAATCAGTTGGTAAAGCGGCGCTGCGACACTAATCCAACCAGCCATGGCCCCAGAGAAAAAGACAAGGAGCAGCTTGGAGACGAGAGTAATGAACAGCTAAAGAATATCCAAAACAAACAAACTGCTACAATCTGTTGTTAAAAAGTAGAAAAAGAAAGTAGAGTCGATGGTGTCAGACATGGTGTGGTCATGAACGAACAAGACAACAACATGAGCCTTCTGGAAACGAAGTTGCAAACTTTAGAAGATGAATTGGACCAGCAAGAAAACAGAATGAGACAAAAGAATATGAGAATGTTGGTCTCTCTACCGGAAGAGGAGGGAAAAAGGAGAGCTTTCCAGCTAGCTGGTTCAAGCTGATATCAGAGGAATTGATGCCAACGATGATAGGATCGGCATGAAACAGAAAAAACACTAAATACCTTCACATGGTAATTTTCAAGGTGTGGAACTATCAGCTTGAAAAAACAGGAAGGGGGAGGTGGAGAGGTTTGGGAGAGAGAGAGAAGGAAGGAAGGATTTAACTATATTTTCATTTTATTTATTTTTGTGACTTGCCACAGCACCTCAAAAGTACAAAGAAGTACTTTCCTTTGTGTTTTTGGTGTGCTTTCTGTTAAATGTCTGCTCAGCCCACACGCTCTACAGTGCAACCAGAAAGTATTCAGACCCCGTCCTATTTTCTACATTTTGTTACGTTACAGCCTTATTCTAAAAATTGATTAAATAAATAAAAATCCTTATCTACATCACAATACCCCATGATGACAAAGCGAAAACAGGTTTTTAGATTTTTTTTGTACAATTATAAAAAATAAAAAAACAGAAATACCTTATTTACATAAGAGTTCAGAGCCTTTGCTATGAGACTCGAAATTGAGATCAGGTGCACCCTGTTTCCATTCTTCATCCTTGAGATGAACACAGTGGCCTCCATCATTCTGAAATGGAATTTGTTTGGAACCACCAAGACTCTTCCTAGAGCTGGCCACCCGGACTAACTGAGCAATCGGGGAGAAGGGCCTTGGTCAGGGAGGTGACCAAGAACCCGATGGTCACTCTGACAAAGCTCCAGAGTTCCTCTGTGGAGATGGGAGAACCTTCCAGAAGGACAACCATCTCTGCAGCACTCCACCAATCAGGCCTTTATTGTAGAGTGGCTAGACGGAAGCCACTCCTCAGTAAAAACCACATGACAGCCCGCTTGGAGTTTGCCAAAAGGCACCTAAAGGACTCTCAGACCATGAGAAACAAGATTCTCTGGTCTGATGAAACCAAGATTGAACTTTTTGGCCTGAATGCCAAGCGTCACATCTGGAAGAAACCTGAAACCATCCCTACAGTGAAGCATGGTGGTGGCAGCATCATGCTGTGGGACAACGACCATAAGCACACAGCCAAGACAATTCAGAAGTGGCTTTGGGACAAGTCTCTGAATGTCCTTGAGTGGCCCAGACAGAGCCTGGACTTGAAACCGATCGAACATCTCTGGAGAGACCTGAATATAGCTGTGCAGCGACACTCCCCATCCAACCTGACAGAGCTTGAGAGGATCTGCAGAGAAGAATGGGAGGAACTCCCCAAATACAGGTGTGCCAAGCTTGTAGCGTCATATCCAAGAAGACTCGAGGCTGTAATCGCTGCCAAGGTGCTTCAACAAAGTACTGAGTAAAGGGTCTGAATACTTATGTAAATGTGATATTTCAGTTTAAAAACCTGTTTTTGCTTTGTCATTATTGGGGTATTTTGTGTAGATTGATGAGGGGGGAAAGGCGATTTAATCAATTTTAGAATAAGGCTGTAACGTAACAACATGTGGAAAAAGTCAAGGGGTCTGAATACTTTCCCATTTCATGGAATGCCCACTCATACGACATGTCCGCTAAAATATTTTAATCGGGTTCTTCAATGATAGACAAGGTTAACTTTGATTCTATACAAGTAAAGACCAATAAAATCCAACTTATCACATGGAATGTGCACAGGCTTCATGATGGAGAAAAAAGCACATTGTTCTAGAACACTTAAAGAGAATGTCAGCAGATGTGGTTTTCCTGCAAGAGATACATAAAAAAAAAAAGGATAAATGTAATATCTAAAGAGGAGCTGGGTTGGAGAGAGGCCTATGCTGCCACCTAGTGTAGTAACATCAGAGGTGCAGCCATCCTGATAAATAAGAATACACCCTGTTCCCCTTATGTCCCAAAAACCTCCTTCCCTCAGTAAGAGCATTGAAGATGGGTCGTGGCTGGGTCTTCCAGCATGACAACGACCCGAAACACACAGCCAGGGCAACTAAGGAGTGGCTCCGTAAGAAGCATCTCAAGGTCCTGGAGTGGCCTAGCCAGTCTCCAGACCTGAACCCAATAGAAAATCTTTGGAGGGAGCTGAAAGTCCGTATTGCCCAGCGACAGCCCCGAAACCTGAAGGATCTGGTGAAGGTCTGTATGGAGGAGTGGGCCAAAATCCCTGCTGCAGTGTGTGCAAACCTGGTCAAGACCTACAGGAAACGTATGATCTCTGTAATTGCAAACAATGGTTTCTGTACCAAATATGAAGTTCTGCTTTTCTGATGTATCAAATACTTATGTCATGCAATAAAATGCAAATTAATTACTTAAAAATCATACAATGTGATTTTCTGGATTTTGGTTTTAGATTCCGTCTCTCACAGTTGAAGTGTACCTATGATAAAAATTACAGACCTCTACATGCTTTGTAAGTAGGAAAACCTGCAAAATCGGCAGTGTATCAAATACTTGTTCTCCCCACTGTATAGGTCTACTCCTAGACAGGTTATGTATAGGTCTACTCCTAGACAGGTTATGTATAGGTCTACTCCTAGACAGGTTATGTATAGGTCTACTCCTAGACAGGTTATGTATAGGTCTACTCCTAGACAGGTTATGTATAGGTCTACTCCTAGACAGGTTATGTATAGGTCTACTCCTAGACAGGTTATGTATAGGTCTACTCCTAGACAGGTTATGTATAGGTCTACTCCTAGACAGGTTATGTATAGGTCTACTCCTAGACAGGTTATGTATAGGTCTACTCCTAGACAGGTCATGTATAGGCCTACTCCTAGACAGGTCATGTATAGGCCTACTCCTAGACAGGTCATGTATAGGCCTACTCCAGTAGAGACCCTAGACAGGTTTTTAATTCTATAATCCTTTATCCTAGCCCTACATTAGATCTATTCATATTTATTACATTTTATCTTAAAAGCTAATCATTCCGATTCACATCCGCGAACAAGGGCCACACTACATAACAGCTTTTAAGTCATAATATACCCAACCTCTACAATTAGGCCATATCATATCAAAAAAAATAATCTTCAAATTAAATAAATAAACAATCAAAAAAGAAAAAAGGTCATCTTCGTCTTCCCATAAATCAAAACCTATAGAGTCCTAATTTCCATACTGCCTAACCATAGTCCACGGTTCCATACTGCCTAACCATAGTCCACGGTTCCATACTGCCTAACCATAGTCCACGGTTCCATACTGCCTAACCATAGTCCACGGTTCCATACTGCCTAACCATAGTCCACGGTTCCATACTGCCTAACCATAGTCCACGGTTCCATACTGCCTAACCATAGTCCACGGTTCCATACTGCCTAACCATAGTCCACGGTTCCATACTGCCTAACCATAGTCCACGGTTCCATACTGCCTAACCATAGTCCACGGTTCCATACTGCCTAACCATAGTCCACGGTTCCATACTGCCTAACCATAGTCCACGGTTCCATACTGCCTAACCATAGTCCACGGTTCCATACTGCCTAACCATAGTCCACGGTTCCATACTGCCTAACCATAGTCCACGGTTCCATACTGCCTAACCATAGTCCACGGTTCCATACTGCCTAACCATAGTCCACGGTTCCATACTGCCTAACCATAGTCCACGGTTCCATACTGCCTAACCATAGTCCACGGTTCCATACTGCCTAACCATAGTCCACGGTTCCATACTGCCTAACCATAGTCCACGGTTCCATACTGCCTAACCATAGTCCACGGTTCCATACTGCCTAACCATAGTCCACGGTTCCATACTGCCTAACCATAGTCCACGGTTCCATACTGCCTAACCATAGTCCACGGTTCCATACTGCCTAACCATAGTCCACGGTTCCATACTGCCTAACCATAGTCCACGGTTCCATACTGCCTAACCATAGTCCACGGTTCCATACTGCCTAACCATAGTCCACGGTTCCATACTGCATGAATACAAAAAGTCTCTGCTCGGAGCCTTTTGAAAGTGGGGTACAGGGCACGTCGTCTCTCCACTATTTCATGGGGAAATTGTTCATTAATAGAGAACGGGGTGTTCTTCAGTTCCCTACCCTGTTGGCAATCTTCATTTTGTAGTGAGTTAGCATCATAGCTACGATCGGACGGGGCCTTCCCTCCCCTCCGCCACTGAAACGGTGAGCCCTTTGAAAATCAATCGTATCCACCTGTTCCTCCGTCATCTTGAGATTACGTTTCATGAACACCTTGACTTTATCCTCTGTTGACTGATAGTTTTCATCCTCCTTTATTCCCATTATAACAATATTATTCTTCATACTTCTGCACTTTAGATCCAGTAATTCGGCTTTCATTGGTTTTATTATCATACCGTAGCCTCTCTGTAGTGTCTTTTAGGGAGTCCACGGCAGTTTTCAATATCTTATTTTCCACTCGTATTTCTTCCATCATTTTATTACTGTAATCCATTCTTGTTTTTAAGGCCTCAACCTCCCCCAGTAGCCCAGACAATAAATCCAGCTGTTTTAACTGCACGCTCATGCTTGTAAGCAATGCTGTATCTTCCGGAGACATAGTTATAAAAACCTCCCCGGCCAATGTTACATTTTGAATTTTAGACAGCGTATTCCCTTCAGTTTCGCTTGCAGAGCTCGAGGAAAGGTCTTGTCTTGTTCGCTTCGATGTATCTGATTATTTTTCACAATTATCAGCTAATCCTCAATTTTTTATGATTAACTTGGGACAAGCTATGTCTACCATGCTGCCATGTCATCAAGACTGGTCTGACTCATCCCAAACCATCTCAATTGGGTTGAGGTCGGGTGATTGTGGAGGCCAGGTCATCTGATGCAGCACTCCATTGTTTGTTTTTCAACAGGACAATGACCCAACACCCCTCCAGGCTGTGTAAGGGCTATTTTACCAAGAAGGAGAGTGATGGAATGCTGCATCAGATCCCCTGGACTCCACAATCACCTGACCTCAACCCAATTGAGCTGAGATTAGGAGCACACTCTTAAAAGGGAGTGCTGCTAATCTCAGCTTGTTACCTGTATTAAAAAGACACCTGTCCACAGAAGCAATCAATCAATCAGATTCCAAACTCTCCACCATGGCCAAGACCAAAGAGCTCTCCAAGGATGTCAGGGACAAGATTGTAGACCTACACAAGGCTGGAATGGGCTACAAGACCATCGCCAAGCAGCTTGGTGAGAAGGTGACAACAGTTGGTGCGATTATTCGCAAATGGAAGAAACACAAAAGACCTGTCAATCTCCCTCGGCCTGGGGCTCCATGCAAGATCTCACCTCGTGGAGTTGCAATGATCATGAGAACGGTGAGGAATCAGCCCAGAACTACACGGGAGGATCTTGTCAATGATCTCAAGGCAGCTGGGCCCATAGTCACAAAGAAAACAATTGGTAACACACTACGCCGTGAAGTACTGAAATCCTGCAGCACCCGCAAGGTCCCCCTGCTCAAGAAAGCACATATACAGGGCCATCTGAAGTTTGCCAATGAACATCTGAATGATTCAGAGGAGAACTGGGTGAAAGTGTTGTGGTCAGATGAGACCAAAATCGAGCTCTTTGGCATCAACTCAACTCGCCGTGTTTGGAGGAGGAGGAATGCTGCCTATGACCCCAAGAACACCATCCCCACCGTCAAACATGGAGGTGGAAACATTATGCTTTGGGGGTGTTTTTCTGCTATGGGGACAGGACAACTTCACCGCATCAAAGGGACGATGGGCGGGGCCATGTACCGTCAAATCTTGGGTGAGAACCTCCTTCCCTCAGCCAGGGCATTGAAGATGGGTCGTGGATGGGTATTCCAGCATGACAATGACCCAAAACACACGGCCAAGGCAACAAAGGAGTGGCTCAAGAAGAAGCACATTAAGGTCCTGGAGTGGCCTAGCCAGTCTCCAGACCTTAATCCCATAGAAAATCTGTGGAGGGAGCTGAAGGTTCGAATTGCCAAATGTCAGCCTCAAAACCTTAATGACTTGGAGAAGATCTGCAAAGAGGAGTGGGACAAAATCCCTCCTGAGATGTGTGTAAACCTGGTGGCCAACTACAAGAAACGTCTGACCTCTGTGATTGCCAACAAGGGTTTTGCCACCAAGTACTAAGTCATGTTTTGCAGAGGGGTCAAATACTTATTTCCCTCATTAAAATGCAAATCAATTCATAACATTTTTGACATGCGTTTTTCTGGATTTTTTTGTTGTTATTCTGTCTCTCACTGTTCAAATAAACCTACCATTAAAATTATAGACTGATCATGTCTTTGTCAGTGGGCAAACGTACAAAATCAGCAGGGGATCAAATACTTTTTTCCCTCACTGTATGTGTTATTTCATAGTTTTGATATCTTCACTATTATTCTACAATGTAGAAAATAGTAAAAATAAAGAAAAACCCTTGAATAAGTAGGTTTGTCCAAACTTTTGACTGGTACTGTATATAATAATATATTTGTTTTGGGGGGCGCCACACAGTTTGGGAACCACTGTGCTAAATGACCACTACTGTAAGTCTCTCTGGATAAGAGTGTCTGCTAAATGACTCACTACTGTAAGTCTCTCTGGATAAGAGTGTCTGCTAAATGACTCACTACTGTAAGTCTCTCTGGATAAGAGTGTCTGCTAAATGACTCACTACTGTAAGTTGCTCTGGATAAGAGCGTCTGCTAAATGAGCACTACTGTAAATGAGCACTACTGTAAATGACCACTACTGTAGTCTCTCTTGATAAGAGTGTCTGATAAATGTAGAGTAAGGCTGCCACAAATCAAATCAAGACTCTTCAAGCTCTTTCAAAAATAACTCAATTTTTGTTCAGCGCTCTCCCTCGGTCTTTCTCTCTTGCGACAGTTTTTCAGCCAAAAACCTCCCGATCTATGTTTGTCCTGATTTGACTCTGCACCGCACATTTTATTTATTTTTTAACCAGGAAAAACCTGTTGACACCCAGAGTCCCTTTTTCAAGGGAGACCTGGCCAAGAAGGCAGCAACAATTAATACATTACAGAATTAACAACATGCAACAATATAATTCAACAACATGATCCGGTCTATCTAGATGAAGCATGGATTGTAGACTATTCCTTGCCTCTGGTGCACAAGACAAGAAGGCAGTCTTGCGTAATACAGTAAATGTCCTGGGAAGCAACCACCTAGCAGACCGGGTCTGGTAACTGGTGGTGGTGAAGGAGACCAGACTACAGTAGCAACCACCTAGCAGACCGGGTCTGGTAACTGCTGGTGGTAAAGGAGACCAGACTACAGTAGCAACCACCTAGCAGACCGGGTCTGGTAACCGCTGGTGGTGAAGGAGACCAGACTACAGAGGTAAAGAGGGAGTTGACCCAAAAGGGCTTTGTAGATGAACACATACAAATGTAGATTTCTGTGCATGTAAAGTGCGGTCCAACCACCATTTGGTACAAGGAGCAATGGTGGGTGAGTGACTTGGCATTTGTAATAAAGCGCAAGGATGCATGATAAACAGAGTTCAGTCTCTGTACGACAGAAGAGGCTGCATGCAAATACAACAAGTCACCATAATCAATTACAGAGAGAAAAGTGGCCTGATCAAGCTTCTTTCTAGCCATAAGCAGGAAGCAAGACTTATTACGAAAATAAAAACCCAATTTCAATTTAAGCAAATCTCACAAAATTATCCAACTTGTCATCCAACCATGTACCTAGGTATTTGTAGGATGACACTTTTTCAATGGATAAGCCACCAGGTGTGACAATGCTAACCTTCTCTAGCTGAGTGCGAGCTCTGGTAAAGGTCATGAATGTTGTTGTTGTTTTTTTACATTCAAGACCAGTTTGTGACCATAAAGGGAGACCTGCAGTGACAAAAGCAGTCTGGAGCTCGTCGATAGCCTGAACCAGAGAAGGAGCTCTGGAGCTCGTCGATAGCCTGAACCAGAGAAGGAGCTCTGGAGCTCGTCGACAGCCTGAACCAGAGAAGGAGCTCTGGAGCTCGTCGACAGCCTGAACCAGAGAAGGAGCTCTGGAGCTCGTCGATAGCCTGAACCAGAGAAGGAGCTCTGGAGCTCGTCCATAGCCTGAACCAGAGCGGTTTTGACACCTTAACACTCCGTCATAAATTAGGCAGAATCTGGGAATCTGCCTCTTGCTCTCTTCAGTATTCCTAAAGGAATGCCCTTTGTCTACAGAATACTTTTGCCGCCAAAACTATAACTATAACTATATCCTCCCGAGTGGCGCAGTGGTCTAAGGCTCTGCATCGCAGTGCTAGCTGTGCCACTAGAGATCCTGGTTCGAATCCAGGCTCTGTCGTAGCCGGCCGCGACCGGGAGACCCACAGGGCGTAACTCGGAAAGTTTATCCAAATGTTGTATAAAATTTGAACATGGTGCCTGTATTTGACTGATGATGAAAACATTATCATCCTATAACAATAATGAAAATATTTATTTTGGGATATTTTCTCCCAAAATAAAACGCTCCCTAACTGTCCCAGCTATCTGTAGAGGGAACTGATCTATGCCTTGGCCTGATGCCAGAGCTAAATAAGTCCCTTATGGTTCCAACAGAAACAGCCCTTAGAGCGCGCGGCTGAATGTACACAGAACAGCTCTTTCTGAGCAGAGTAGTTTGTTAAAGTATGTTTGTTTAAGAGTACACACTTCTTAAGGATGAGAGTATTTTTGTTAAGATAGGAATGTGATTTTAGTTTTCTAATGAGATAATTGTTTTTCATATAAACTATGCACAGTGACTAGCCACGCCCCGAGTGAGATCAGAGATCGTGTCAGCATGAAGGAATGCCCCTTTTTACCCAGAGTGCATAAAAAGCCTTGGTAACGAAACTCACATCAGACCAGAAAGCGTGGAGCTGGTGGCTACACATTTGAAATGGTTTGAACTTTGAACCTCAACCCAAAAGGTGAAGAAGATCCAGACTGGACCTGAACGTTGCTTCAAACTCTGACTAAAAGACATGAGGTGGGAAAATCCCATCTCAGACAATCATTGGTGCATCTGAGTATCTGCTCTGAAAACACTCCACTACAAGACCAGGACAACTAAGAAGAAGGACATTGTGACCTTTGGTGGACAATCAGAACCTTAAAAAGTGACCCACCGGAGAACCAGCCAAACCCTTTTTAAGAAGGCTTGGTCCGGCAGAGATTAACGATGTGCCCTTGAGCAAGGCACTTAACCCTAATTGCTCCTGTAAGTCGCTCTGGATAAGAGCGTCTGCTAAATGACTAAAATGTAAATGTAATTAACGGCGAACAAAGGCATTCAAACACGTAAATACATTCATGATTTCTTACCCCAAACGGGCGGTGGTTCGTGAGCAAAGTATTATGATTACTTTGAGCGTAGTTTCCAAATGTATCAACGATAAGTTTGACTCTCTCTTTGTCTCTCTCTCTCTCCCCCTCCCTTTTCTACCCCT